TATGGCTAGAAATTGGCCTCAATGATTTGGGATCGAGGGGGATTATCCCTCTTTATCCTGCCTCATCTCGTGTAGGCCTGGACAGCCTTCGTAGGTGGGCCCCATCCGTCGTCTACCCCGACCGCAAATGCGGCCGGTGTAGGCGCTTTGTGGGACCTCCTTTTGTCCTGGCTGGGCCCCGCCGGCTAGGGCCCTTTCTTCTGGCGCTCTTCTTGCTTCGCCGGCTCGAGATATCCTCAACAAACGGCATAAATTAAATTCTCTAGAGAATTGGATTCCTTCAACGTTCAAAAATAAGTGTTTAAGTTTTTAAGAGAAATTTGTCAGGTGAATTTTTTCTCTGGAGAATCAGTTCTCCTGTTTTCAAAAATCAAGCCCCAGGTCCAGATTATGTTTAAATTGGATAGTTATTGAGAAATGTACTGCTACACTTATTTGAATATCTTTATTAATAAATATCCATTCCTCAAAAAACGAAGCTGCTTAAGTTTGTAGACTATCGTATAATTAATTTATCACATAAATAATTAGACAAAAACAGAGATATATTAACTCGATCCAAACCTATCCACAAGCCGGGTTGTTTAATTATGGTTTTCTACATTATCGCCATTTTGTTTTTTTATACCATGGAGACTAGTTATAGACTAGTTTATACTTGGTCCTTGTTCAGAAGCAACGATCTATGTTAGGATTAGTTACGTTAGGTTAAATTAGGTTAGGTTAGATTAGATTAAGTTAGGTTAGGTTTTGTTACGTTTTATTTTTTCTTCAGTTATTTCCACTTTTTTTTTTGTATTTATACTACTTATTTAATGAAATGCTATTGCTTTTCAATTGGAAAATTTGTCATTTTTTATTGTCCTATTGTTACAGACCCAAAATTATCAACTGCATTTCATATTGCATTAAAAATTAGTTTAATTAACGTAAATACCTAACCTATGTACAACTGGACAACCTATCAATTTTAAATTTTACATTCTACTTATGTTAGGCAGTATGTTCCATAAATAAGAATTAATATTAATAAACAATATTACAGTAAATTGTTGAGTCAGCAGGTGAACACTAAACTATTTAATTATTTCTCGTTTACATACAATATAAATGTTTAGATAAAACTGGTTGCCCGCATTTAATTTTATAACTTGTTGTCCCGATATGAGATCTAGTTAACGCAGTTGCAATTACGACCTTCAGGTGTTTGTTTTAAAAAGTCAAAAAAGTTTTGAATTTGGATTTTGGGAAATAATTCAAGGGGTACCGTTCTTTTTAAGGTAAGTCGTGATTGTTTAAAATTGCCGCTTTTATAGTGACGTCTTTCCCGTTTGCTCGCGCTTATCCCCACCTACGTGTGAGCACACGTGCGAGATGTATTTTCTATTTCCATTTCTATTTCTATTGACGACGAGAAACGTAATTTATTTATTACGAAGCTTAGTTGTAGAGAGGTGCAGATAATTTATATTTTCTAGTCTATTTTTTATGTTGGCGTTTGTGAAGAGCGCATAAAATTGAGAAATTGTGGTAAGATTCTATTTTTATTCTGTACAATGCGATTTTAAGTAAATTTTAATAGCAGGGTGGGGCTTAATGAGGAAAATAGCAGAATTCAACGCCACGTGTTTACTGTTTAGACATATTGTCCGACGTCGAGATCTAGCTCATTTCTAATTTACAGTTTTGTTTATAGATATAGTTAAAATGGTACAACACGATAGTTCAAATTCCGGCGACGAGAGCTCTGTAATCCCGGAAAATCCTGCTAAAGGTATTCCTGCTGGAAAATACCATTTAGTGGGATGGGGGATCGACACAACAGGCCGTCGTCTCATTGATGAGATAGTACAGATTGCTGCTTTCACCCCGAAGTCTAAATTTTCACAGTATATTATGCCCTTCGCTGACTTAAACCCTATGTACAGCCGTAGACACAGTATTCGTGTAATCAACACACCACGCTACAGGCGTCTAAAAGACTTGAACACTGGCCAATTTGTAAAGACCAAGAGTGAAATTTCAGCTTTGCAGGATTTTCTGCAGTGGCTCGAGACCATTAGTGGTGAAGGCGTTGATGGTATTATTCTTATCTATCATGAAATCCGGAAAGCTTCTCCAGGCATGCTTTTGGAGGCTTTAAGGAGGTATCAGTTGATAGACAGGTTCTCAAAGGTTGTGAAAGGATTCGCAAATGGGTTTAATATTGCTCAAACGAAGTGTGCAAATACTACTAAGTCTTTCAGCTTACGGGTGATGTCGAGAGTATTATTGAACAGAGAGGATGAGAATTTCAGCAGTGCTGTGGAAAGGGCTCGTGCATCCTTTGAGATCGCATCACATCTGGCTCAGGGTGAGAGGATCGAGTTGGATGGGAAACCCAGTGATGCGATTATAGGTACAGAACAACACATTATCAATTTTGTCTGTCCTTTCACTAACCCGATTTCAGCGGAGGAGGATGAAATTGCTGTATTTAAGGTAAGTCCGAGTAATTTTGTGTTAATCTGTATTGATTTATTTATATTTAATTCACAGAAAAGGAATTTTTTCAATTTTTTTTGTCTAACATATAAGTAAATAAAATCAGTTTTTCAGGTAAATGAATGAAAAAACTTGCCAATTCAAAATATGAGCACAAGTGTCTTTCTGATCCAAGTAAAAAACTGTTGGTTTTTATTTCTAGTTGTTTTAAAGCATATTAAACCTAAATTTGATATTTATTAGATATACATATTTATAAAAACAACTGATAATAAATCAGATTTTACCTCAAATATATCTTTCAGTACAAACAACATGAATTTTTATAAAATTTTTATTCATTTTTAGAACTTGGTATTGTTTAATGTTATCTTAAGTTTCTTTTAAAAAACTTGTCAATCAGTATTTAGTAATTAATGAAATAATTCTGCATATTTAATTTTAATAAGTATTTTAAAGAATTTACATCATTTGTCTATAAAAACAAATAATTATTTTTATTTCAGTTTTATTTGTTTATAATTTTACAGCTGTTATTTAGACAGAAAAGTGATATCTCAATAGGTTACATTAACATATTGGGAAATTGTTTACAAGGTGTTTGACCTCATGAATTTTCAAAATGTTTGCATGCACCTCTTATATATCAGTTTTGAGAGGTATATTTTTTTTTCTCAGAATTAATTAAAATCATCTATTCTGAAAAAATTTTAAGAATACTTGGGAAAATAAAGATTTTCTCATGATTTCATCGGTAGTAAAGTGAAAATAAAAATAACAAATTTGATTTTCTTAATACTTTAAACTAATAAACTAAATTTGTATGAACCTCTTTTGTCAATTAATTTTAAAAGAAAAATTTATTGTATATACTTAAACAAATTTAAAAACGTTGTAAAATTATATTTCCACTTGGGAAATGTCAAAAATAATTAATATGCTGTATATTAGTTTATTTTGAATTAAGTTGAATATATAAATTGTATATTAGTAGAAAAAATATAATTTCTTGCTTGAAATGAAATACAGTACAATGCGATTTTAAGTAAATTTTAATGGCAGGGAGGAAAATAGCAGAAATCAACTCCAAAAAATAGAATTTCCTATTTGAGATGAAATACTCTGTTTATTGTTGACCACTGTTTACTAAAGAAACAACATTTGCTGTAAAAAGAACTATTTTCTTCAGGATATCGTAGTATTAGAGAGTACGTAATTATAATAAAAAAAATACAATGAAATGTTTTTCTTTACCTTATCACTGGTACAATTTAAAATATTTGTTTTGTTATATAGATGTTTTGATACACAAAATTCAACAATACCTATTTAAAGGTGTGACGCTTAAACATTAATACACATGATGTCATTGTCTTTTTATAGCTAATAGATAAATATTAAAAAGTTTGTTATAAATCACAATTTTATAAGTATTTTCTTTACATATGCATTTAAAATAATTTTTGTGGAACATTATAGTTACACTTTCTTGTAAGGAGAAATAATTTATTTACATTTTGTTAAATATAAATGTTTTTTCATGTGACAATGGAAAATGTCCGCTTGAAATGAATACTCAATATTTATCTGAAAACCCGTAATAAAAGTAGTCTGTTATTACAAATTTATTACTATAATAATTTATAAACATATAAATAGGTACATATTCTGTTACAATCATTTTGTTTGTTATTTGGAAATCTTCCCTATTTATAACTCAATTTATGCTAATGTAAATATCATATAAGGCTGCACTTAATTGCTTGCATATACATATTATATATATAACCAGGTTTTTTCATTCAGTATGCATAGTAATATTTATTTATTTTTTTGATACAGTATATAACAATTTTGGTATTAAATGCTGCCTGGCTCAATTCCATACATAAATATATTTAATACAGCATACACATATTGGTAGCATGATCTTGCCAAAAACTACTCTTGTTCAGCAGGTTTTACTTTATTTTATGACCATAAATATGTTTACAATCTGTGTAAGATAATGGTTGCTTTTTCTGATGTATTCTAATCATTATAGTTAATTGGTATGTAAAATAAATGACATTGCTCTTTTTGTTGTCATAACACGCTCCCGTTTGTATTCAAGAAGATATTAAAGCAGGCAACAGTGTTTTTTTTAATAACTGTTTTAAAATAAGATTTGATATGTTGTACAGGGTGATTCACTATATTTTGACCCCCCTTTAACTTTTTTGTTTTAAGAGTTATAAAAAAATTTGAAATATAAAAGTTGCACGAGTTTTTATGAATTTTTCGAAAATGATAGTAGAAAAACAAATGAAGTCCAAACAAAATGGCCGCGGATGTTAACTATGTTAAGTTAAATGGAATACCCTGTATATTTTTACATATTTGTTATTGTTAGCGATGGACCCAACAAACCCTACATGACTATGCTGGACAGGGAACGTTCTATCCAAATATGTAAAAATATACAGAGTGTTCCATTTAACTTAACAAAGTTAACATCCGTGGCCATTTTGCTTGGACTTCATTTGTTTTTCTACTATCATTTTCGAAAAATTCATAAAAAAATCGTGCAACTTTTATATTTAACATTTTTTTATAACTCTTAAAACAAAAAAGTTAAAGGGGTGGTCAAAATATAGTGAATCACCCTGTACAGGGTGTGCTAAAACATTTAGTGAAACTTTAATCGCAGATTCTACATTGTAAATTTAAAAAAAAGTTTATATTGGTGTATGTCCAGGACATGGTCTAAAATTTTATCCTTTTGGTTGAAAACGTATATTCTAGTACGAACACATTTTTGAGAAACTTCTGTCACAATAGTGAAATAGCTTCGAAGAAAAAAAGTTAGAATAAATGGTTAATACATCTGCTCATGGAACTACACCCTACAAAAAATCATGCACATACATTTGTGAATAAGTAAAAACTGAAGTTGCATTTGAAAGAACCGTTCAACTATTTTTTTTTGTCATAAAAAAGTCAATTTTTCTTTACACCATGATACAAAGTTTTTCTTAATTTATGACGTAGAATCCACAATTAAGTTTGGTCAAACATAAAAAAGAATAATACAAATCAACTTTCAACAACAACAAATGTTTTTGTAACTAATTTTAAAATATTACATAATTTTCACACTATTGTTTGCAACCAAATTCACATGCAAGAATGGTTATTTTTTCATAACTGCATTGCAAAAATTGTATCTTGTATAGAAAATTCCATGAATTAAAATATTAAGGACAAGGGCAGATCAAAAGTTCTTAGTCAAGTCTAAGGAAGTAGCCTGCAATTGGAGGTGACCAGGTAGTCATACGTAACAACCCAAAAAACTATACTACTTTAATTGTAATTATTTTAACGTCAGCCTCACTGGATTTTATAAAACAACTTTTTAAATTTTGAACAATAGAAAGTAAAATATTTTTACTATCCTATCCTCACCCATTGTTGTACATAAATAATTTTTAATTATGTGTAGATCTGTAACAACTTGTACTGGAAGATGGTCTCTGTTACATTACATAATTTATTCATTTCATCGAAGACTAAAATAAAATCTTGTAAAATCAGTGTTAAAAGTCACTGCTGTAAAAACATAATATTCACATTGGTCTTATGGTCTTGCTTGTTGAAAATATGGAAATTTAAGTTTTTTTATTTTTTTTGTTTTTATATATTGCTTTTAAAATGTTGGACGAGAGGATTTTTGGTAGGAATTTCGCCCACTTGCGCTCCCCTCCAGAGCCTGTTTCCTATGTTTTTCTTTTTTTTTTTGAATAATAACAAAAAAAGTAGAATATACAGGATTGTTGGGAACGACTGTACCATTTAAAATGCCATTTAACCATTTATGTTCCTGCCCAAGTTAACTTACGTCTACCTTTTTGTAAAATTTCCGCATAAGCAAATTAACTTGTTATAACGGGTTATCCATTTTCTCATCGGGAAAGTAAAGTTTAAAAAAACACACTGAATATTTAAATTTCGATGGAACTTTTATTTCATAATAATGTTTGGACTATGCCATTATGCGTGAAAAACAATATCATTCAAATGTCTTCCACGGAACCGTTTGCAGGACTCAAACTTTTTGAGGTAATTTTCGAAGACTTTTTCACTCAATTCGGGCAATAATTCCGACATAACTTGATATATCTCGTCCTTCAATTATTCCAAAGTTGTGGGATTGTTTGCATAACCACGGTCTTTCGCATAGCCCCACAAAGAAAAATCCAAAGGCGTTAAATATTAGGATTTAGGTGGCCAAGCTACATCGCCGAATCTCGAAATTACGCGTCCTGGGAATTTCTCCAGCAATAGAGCCATAATTGGCTGCATTGTGTGGCATGTGGCCCCATTTTGTTGAAACCACATATCGTCCAGATCAAAATCTTCAATTTCAGGCTAAAAAAAGTCGATGAATCATGGCGCCACAATGTGCCGTAGGACAGGCCCAAATGCTAGGCTCGACTTGAAGTCGAAAGATTCGGGTCATCGATAACACTTTCATTCACAGCGGCTATGTTTTCGATTGAACGGGCAAAACGATGATGCACAGGTCTTACGATGTCTGTTACCAATCCAATCTATTGGAATTTCCTCACTGTATTGGTGGTTGTTTGCTAGGATGGACGATTATGTCAATCATAATCTCCGCGTAATGTGCGAAATGCAGCCACCGAAGATCCACCATTTTCGTAGCATAATTTAATAATTTTAACGCGTTGTTCAGTCGTAAAACGTTCCATATTGTGAAATGGCAAACCTTTAACTAAACAAATACCAGTCTGAACGATAGTGACATTTGACAAATATCAATTGGCAGGGCTTTACTATCCCAAGCTCGAAATGGATAACCCGTTATTTCGATTTAGGTGTTATGTTCCATTTTTCTCTTAATTAAACTGTTCAAAATATTAGATATTCTATTAACCAGAGTATAATTAATATTAGTTTTATTTATCGAGAAACAGTTTAGATACAATACTTTCTGTAACTCAAATATATTGTGCCATATACATACTTATAAAAACTAATTTTTTAATACTTTTTGGGTATAAGTTAAATAATTTTAGAAACAATAAGTTTCAGAAATTGATGTCATTATTTGGGGTCCATTTTAAATTTTAAGTCGAGTTTTAAAAAATGCACTTTTAACACAACTTGAAAATCACATGGTGTTAACTTAATGGTTTTTGAATTTTAGGTGTTGTTGGAAAGACAGAATACATTCCGGCCTGTGTTTGGTGCCTTATTGAGAGCGAGCCGTACAGAAAGACAACACGCAAGCCATCTGCGTAGACTTCTGGCCGAAAACAACATCAATTACGACAAACTGAAAGAAGCATATGAAACTGGTGCCAAAGAGGGCCTTGAGAAGGTTATTAAAAATGAAGTAAGCATAAAAATCTTTTATTAAAAATGCTTTGAGAACTTGTGAATGATATGTACTTTGCAACATAAATATCATAAAATTGTGTTGTCTACTGAGAAATGGAGAATGACTGATGGCACCGCTACTTGCAAATATTTTGTGTGCCGCTCTCCTATTATTTTCGCTCTTCCTAGTTGGTTACATTGATCGTGATTTACTTTGTGGGTGGGCCATCTCTCAAATTTCTTATACTATAGATTTTGTAAAGAGATAGTCACAAGGAGGGTTGTTCCGGATGTGAGATTTTCAATATTACATGCAAATGTAAATATTTCAAGTTGCATTACTCTACTTCCAATAATAAAGAAGATATGGAACAGATAAGAAAAGTCAAGTTTTTAATTTTTTCAGCTTATTTCAATAACAATAATAATAATAATAATATCCAATATCTTTTCATAATCCGAAATGGCATGAAAATATGCAAGTTTTTTGTAATTTAGAATGACCGCCCTGTATATTATTTTTTTTTTTCAGTGGTTGATAATGTATAAGGTGGAGTTTTCATTTTGTCTGTAACAAAAAATATTCATTGCAAAATTATAGACGTCTTATAATAGACAACTTTATTTTGTTCTATGGAATTGTAAAGATAAAAATAACTATGAACATATTTACTACCTGTAAATAAGTTTTTTTTTTTATTTTGGACAGAAAATTTGTTAATATAAACACTTCAACCTGTGCCGATCTCTCATATTAAAAATATTAATTATGGATGTAGGGGAAGGTGGAGAAAAGTGAAATGAAATTTGATTTAAACAATTAATATCCCATCTTTCATAACAATAAATGATGAATCACAAGTTTGGATTTAAAAGAACGGTATTCTCTTGTGATATTTTTTCTTGAGGGTATTTAAAAAAATATTACATTTGTTGCACTTTATCTACCCCATTTATGGGGCAAAGTAAAATAATCGGAGAGGTGAGTTAGAAAATTGTTTTATTGGTGCTGTTAAAGATAATCATCATTAATTAAAATATTTTAGTTTAAACATAATAAATCAACGAGCAGTGAAATTACATTTTTAATTTTATAAAACTTGTACTAAATGTCATATTCGTTATAAATATATAAAAAATATCTAGTAAAAAGTTTTGAAATGCAAAAAAATTCCGTAGCCGCATAGACCACATTATTTAAAATTCAATGTTGTGTTTACCTTCCCTGGATCATTTGCATTAATGTAGAAAAATATTTTTTCTTAATACGAAGGAGGTAAAAAATTTGTTATATTGTTACATGTATAGAGACGGACTTGATAGGCAAGTACAGGTTTGTTGTGTATCGCTAATGGCACTGCCCTGTAGTCAAAATTTTGAATAATCATTTGATGTACCTGTATGGTAGTGTGAAGATTGAACATAAATACCATATTATTAGGATTTCGCCTAATCCATTGCAGATTTGGAAGTCAACTTTGCCTCCTGACATTTATTCCTCATTTTGCTAATATCCCCTCCAAAGCATCGAAAATATCAATTCTGTTGAAGTACTTTACTTTCTTTAGTACACTCTTATCTTGATGACTGTTTCCTTTGTCTGGTCTCCATATTACAGTCATCATGCTTTGAAACTTACAAAATGTAGGTGCAACTATTTACTACAGTTTCTTTTGGTGAAAATGATACTCCTTGTCCCATATTTTATTTAGGTTCTTCTTTTTTGAGTTACAAGTTTTGACAATTCAACAATTATGAATAAAAATATATTTTTTATGATGTTAAGGAGAGAAACCACATTAGAAGGCTGATTTTCAGGCATTTTTCATGATTTTTTATGAGTGGGACAAATTGATTAGACCTTAATCAAATTTTGACATTTAGACTAGGCGGTATCTGTTTTGATTTGGGTGAAATATATATCCACGGAGATTTTTGCCTTTTTGGCTTTCAAATATCACTAGGAATAAAAATTTTTCTATGCACATAAAAAAAACGTGGGCTTAACTTTTGGCGGCACAATATGTTAAAAAAATTCGAAAAATGTCATATTTTTCCTATTATGTATCTTTTCAAGAGTTAATTTTAGGCGAAAATGAAAGAGGAAAAAAATTTTTGTAATTAAATTTTACAAAATATGACTAGTTACAAATCAAATGAATAATTATTATTGTAAAAATCGAAAAAATCGACAAAAATTGGGTTAAAAAACATTATTTTTTAGGGAAATTTTTTGGGGTCTTTAAGTTGGGTATACGACCTTCATACTTGGCTCAGGAAAAGTTAGTTATGTAGAATCATCACGCCAAATTTCATCAAAATCGGTTTGATAGATTTTGCATAATAATTTTGCAATCCAGATTTTGAAAAAAAAATTGCAAATTTTCAAAATTTTGCACAGCAAAAACCAAGGCCCTTAGATACTTGAAAATTTAATCACATATAGAGGGGCTCTCAAGCTTTCAAACACTTTTTGAAAAATTCGAATCCGTCAATTAGGAGAGCTCTGGCGCTGTTTAAACATTGGTCGAATATTTGTTCTTATAAACAATTAGAATAACTTTGTGAATATTCAATCAAACCAAATTTTTTAAAGCTGGTTTTAAAAGTTATTGGAAAGACGCTTCTTTAAAAAATGCGATTTAAAAAAAAACAATTAGCATATTTTCAAATGCCTATCATTAATAATTATTGGTCTTTCAACAGTCTCGTAATTATTTATCTTTAAACTTCCTTTAATTATCAACTTTATTTTTTTATTGTTATCAAAGGTAAGTGCATAAACTTGTATACTGTTTATCAAGGATCAAAAACAAATTTATTTAAATATTCTAAAATTGTTAAACAACAATTATTTCCAAAAAACATGTCCAAAATTAGTAATTAATTAATTAATTATTAATTTAATCATTTCTTTTGTGACTAAAGTATAATTCAAATATTATTTACTGTTTAAAATATAAGCAAATCAGAAATTAAATTATTATATTACAAAAATACAAAATTATAGTACAAAAATTCGACCAATGTTTAAACAAGCACTAGAACTCTCCTAATTGACGGATTCGAATTTTTCAAAAAGCGTTTGAACCGATTTTGATGAAATTTGGTGTGACGATTCTATATAACATGAACTTTTCTTGAGCCAAGTATGAAGGTCCTATACCCAACTTAAGGTGGCCATATTCCTGGCCGAGAAATAGTGAAATTTTTGGCGTTTTTAGGTACTGAAATCTTTAAAAGTAAAACGTGTAGAACAAAAGTAAGCACAAAAATAAAATCCTTGATGTTTTGTTTATTCATTGTTACCATTTAAATTTACTCAAATAAAATAATAACTAAAAAAAAGCGTTTGTAAAACATGCGTTTGCTGTTATTCTAACCCCACATTTTAAGAATTATTTTCACGTACTTATAAATAAAAGTAAACAATTTTATATGTAGGACTAAGCAAGTAAATGTTATAAGAATATTTACATGTGGAATTATATATAAAAAAGTTAGTATTTTCGTAGATTTCAGTACCTAAAACCTTGATGGTTTGATCGTTTTTTGCACCTGTTTATTCGTTTTACTGCGGCGTCTTTGAAAATACCCAGATGGCATGACATAACATTCCTATTATTTGATAAGCTTTAGATTATTCAGTTATTAAATGTTTGAAATTATTTGTCTTTGCGGAAAACACTATTTAAAGAATATGGGGCCCTTAAAGACCCCAAAAATTCCCTAAAAAATAATGTTTTTTAACCCCAATTTTAGCGATTTTTTCGATTTTTACATAATCATGATTCATTCGATTTGTAACTGGTCATATTTTGTAAAATTTAATTACAAACATTTTTTCCTCTTACAATTTCGCCTAAAATCAACTGTTGAAAAGATACATAATTAAATAGGAAGAAAAATATGATGACATTTTTCGATTTTTTTTTACATATTGTGCCACCAAATGTTAAGCCCACGTTTTTTTTAAGTGTATAGAAAAATTTTCATTTCAAGTGATATTTGAAAGCCAAAAAGACAAAAATCTCCGTGGATATACGATTCACCCAAATATGGACTCTTTGAAACAGATACTGTCTGGACTAATTATTTTATTAATATTTTGGACTACATTTACAAACTTTTTCAAATCATTTGTGTTGAAACTGCCGAAGTTATGGGCTGTTGTCCACCGAAGGTCGTTGTCCGAGTTGGTTGTTCACACGAAATGTGGAGGTCTCAATTTTGATCTGAAAGCAAAATGGTTGTTTTTCTGCATTATTTACATGTTTTCTAAGAATATGAACCTCATTACGGGTAAAAATTGTGAAATTGAAGTTTTGAACTATTGATTTTCACCATTTTTTTTTTCATTTATTTTGAATAAATTATTATATCATTCCAATTGTTGGTTCATGTTCTTTATAATTTCTTAAAGGAACACACTTTCAATTTTCATAACGATTGGTACATAACTTTTCGAGTTCCTGTGAATAAAAAAAATGTTGTTTCAAAGAAAAGCGTGTTTGAAAATTTCTGAAAATAGAAATTTGGGAAAGTTATCAATAATACAGGGTGTCCGCAAATTTCACCGACAACGTTTCACTACATATTCACAACGATAAATAAATATGATCTACAAAAAAAAAGTTAAATAAAAACTTTTTGGTTTTTGAGTTACAGGCCTTCAAAGTTGTCAAAAATAAAACTAATTTAATTAATAACTTCATAACCCTTTTACCGATCGCATTAAAATTTGGTACATTTATTTGTAACTATTATTGCGTATTATTTCTTAAAGTTTTAGTCAAATCGATATACTGGGTGATAGTTTTCTCCGGTTACCTCTCCCTCTTAGTGGTCAAAACTTTTACAGTGGTCGTATTTTTTTTAAAACGGGTAGCAACACTATAAAGGTCTTTTTATTTAAAAAATATATTGTCACTTGAGAAATTCGCCTACGGAAAGCCATTCTTGAGAAAAATGGCATTATTTGCAGGTTTGTACGTTTCGGTTTGTATAGCAGTGTCACCGATTTAAAACTTTGAGATCAGTAGGCGATGAAAACAAGATGTCGATTGCTATGGCTATCAGGGAATGTCATTATTGTTGTGTCTCTTTAGGATTCTCATCACTGCATACATTCAAATTATGAAAATTTACAACTCCGTTCCTTGTAAAATAATTGAATGTAAAGTATAATCACAGTCTAATCGCCTGATTAGTTAATGGAGCCTTAAACGAGACTCAAAGTATCAGGTCTTAACATATATTCCGCAACATTATTTGATTTAAGTTTATTATTTAGTTGTAAATATTTTTGATTGTGGTTCCTGTAATTGGGTTTTTTACCTGTTGGAAATAAAAATATCCTTTATTTGAATCTAATCTAATCTTCTAATTCTTTAAGTTAATTTATTCTAATTCCTAGGTTGCCAATGCCAAAGAAAAAGACCTGAATGAACTGTTAGAGATTCTGGACTGCTTCTTCGACCCGGATAAGAAAGCAGTCCAACCAAAGACCCAGCGTTTCTTCCCGACTTACAACCGTCGGAGACAAAAGTCTTTCAACAAAAACCAGAGCTCCAATTCGGAAAGTCACAGCCCCAATGCTTCTACCGACAATCCGACTACGGAGCCAGTAAGCGACGAGACTTCCCCTAGGAGTGAGCCGGAAAAGACAGTGGTGGCAGCGCAATAAGTGCCTTATCGTATCCCTAGTTGTTCCCTACTCACACACACAGTCTCTGGCTTTTTCTTTTCTAACATTTTCAGTTACTTACCCGCAAATATTTATTTGATTTCTATAAGCAACAGCTGTGTTTAATCTGAAATATGACATATGGAATTATTTTGTTTAATCATGTTCTAAGTTAATGCATTTTTTTAGAGAGAATAATTTATGTTTACATACATGTTGGTTCTGATATAGATTTATTTTATTATGTTTATTTAATTTTGTGATAATAATAGGATTATGTTTTTGTAACAAATTAATTTTTATATTGTTTGTTACATGCCTGTTATTTAATATTTGAGTTTAATAAAGTTTAATAAATAAATAATAAGTTTAATAAAAAAATGAAATGAAATGTTTTTAAAGACAGAGGGACACGGAATCTATTTTTGCATATACAGGGTTTTTGGTAAGTAAATGCATTCCTTGTAGGTTATAGTGCAAGTGATTTGTGATATATGTCCTTAATATACCATATTCCGAAAACGTTTCTGATCTACAGGGTGATAAAGTTTTAATAAAAAATGCAAATTTATAAATATTGCCGAAACCGCTCGGAATATTTTAATGAAATTTTACAAGTTTTGACAATTTACAATGTTCTGTTTCACGGATTTTTTGTACCAATTTTATTACTGAAAATTATTCCTCGCAGTTAACATCAGTCTAAAAAAATTTTATTAGTTTTTAGATTCACTATTTACTATCTAAATAGAAATTAGCAAGTTGGCTGTGCACTAGTTTTTGTTATTGTTTGACAAAATCAATAATAGTTGGATGGCGTTATGCAGAAAGCTACCAACCCACAATAGTGACAAACCGAGATAATCAACTCTAAAGTTTCTATTAATTTAAAAAATCTGTAGGATGTTTAAATACTACTTTGTAATTTTCTTTTGATTCAAGATAGGTCTTTTGATATTTTATCTATGTTTAAATATTTTATATATAAAATAAAGGTAAAAATGGCTCTTGTTTTTCTATTTTGATTGATTGTAATTGAAGAACCCCATATTTGCAGAAAGCTAACAACCCACTTGAGTGCATCTGGCACTATATTAAACTAAAACCAAGTGGGTTGGTAGGTTTCTGCAAATTATAAGTATAATACCAAGTGGGTTGGTAGGTTTCTGCAAATTAAAAGTTTCGACAAAATACATAATGTGGGTTAGCATTTTATAGTTTTATAGGGTATATAATTTATTGAGGCTTGGTAGGTTTTTACAGAATGCAGAACGCGTATTTTATTAACCAAATATGCACCTAACTCAATATCTGGTATATTGTGGGTTGGTAGCTTTCTGCATAACGCCGTCCAATTATTTGTTTTTATAGTTTTAACATTAATAGGCTATTGAATATAGGATTATTACACCAATCGTTCAAATTGTCATTTTGGATGAAAAAACCGGGGAGTGCTATTAAATTAGAGGGTGGAAATTGGAGATAGGGCTGAAAATGCACCCCTTTCAGTTTTTTTAACTGTAGCATAGGAAAAATTATTTAGAGAATTTAATTTCCCATCGAAATAGCATATTTAAAAAATTTAAAAGGAAAATTTTATGCAAAAAATCGTTATGAAACAATTTAAAAAAAGCAAAATTATATTTTCTGATTTTTTTACTTTTTTGCCTCTAGTTTTTTTTTGAGTAAAGATAGGTATAGGCATTGCTTTATAGAAAAAAAAGTAGATAAAATTTCCTTCAAAACAAGAGGTTGTAAAGNCCCACTTGAGTGCATCTGGCACTATATTAAAGTAAAACCAAGTGGGTTGGTAGGTTTCTGCAAATTATAAGTATAATACCAAGTGGGTTGGTAAGTTTCTGCAAATTAAAAGTTTCGACAAAATACATAATGTGGGTTAGCATTTTATAGTTTTATAGGGTATATAATTTATTGAGGCTTGGTAGGTTTTTACAGAATGCAGAACGCATATTTTATTAACCAAATATGCACCTAACTCAATATCTGGTATATTGTGGGTTGGTAGCTTTCTGCATAACGCCGTCCAGTTATCACTTTGAGTGTGAAGCAGTTAGTACATAATTTCTATTTTTTAAATCATTGAAACCGGATTATGCCACGTAATAAATCGATTTTAATTTTTTTAGTCGAAAATGGTGTGTCGTAAAAAAAACAGTCGAGATACTTTTTCTCTTCCAAATTGAACAAGGAATTTAAAAATAATTTTTATTTTAACCCTTTAACTGCTCCAGACGTATATATTCGCAAAAAATTTATAGGGGTCAAACTGCTACAGACGGATTAATTCGCATGCATAGTTAAATTGGATCAGGCTGCTCAAACCGTATATATTCACAACCATACGCATTAGTGACTCAGTTATTGCAATTGGTAAGGCGAATTTTTGCGGGTGAGCTTATACCGATTGTGACAAATATTTTTATGGAAAAAGGTACTGGTAATAATACCAAAATTGTTCATGTTTCTTTCAGTTTCTCTTTAGTACATATACTGTATTTTATTTAAAATAAAATCGTAAAATTTATCGTAAATCGTAATTTAACACAACATAATGTAAAACTATAAGTGGTCTAACTGCTCCAGACATATACAGGGTGTTTTTGAATGGAGTAGCATAAATGACACCAGTGAATCTACATTTCAAAAGAACACGATCTGCAAAAAATCGCCTTAGTAAAATGTTCAGCCCTGAAGAGATATGGGCCATCAAAGTTTCCAAAAAAATTATGAAAATTGGCTGTAATTTGAAAACCGAACAAGGTACAAATAACAAATTTTTTACAGGTTGTTTACTAATACAGATGCGAGTTTTCAACTATTTTTCGAAAATTTTAACCCCTCGAAAGGGGTTGAAATAACCACCCCTCAAGCCATTTTTTGCCATAACTTTTATATTTCGTAAAAACTCGATATCCAAAAATACGCATTAGATAAACTGGTTCTTTTAGAAACTTTTACCTCTCTAGCAATTTTCCTTTAAAACTTTTCGTTTATTAATAAAAAAATAAAATGTATTACCATTCACCTCACACCGTATATGATTGCAATCAATCAAAGAAAAACTAAGTGTGCTGCTGTCATGCCAGTTGTCACAATTAACTCTTCTGTAAGTTGTCACTGTTATCAGCTAAATACTTTTTGGGTGTAAATTAACAAGAATTATGCCAAATTTTACTAATGATGAATATGTGGACATGCTACAAGTGTATTTTGAATGTCGCAAAAACTGTGCTGCGGCAACAAGAGCGTATAATGAGAGATATCCAAATCGTCAAGTTCCCCACAGACAAACTTTTTCGGCGGTAGAACGAAGACTTCGGGAAACTGGAAAAATACAGCCGCATATTGAGGGTACCGGCCGAAGACCTACTGTTCGTACTATTTATCTTGAGGATGCAGTACTTGAAGAGTTTGACGAAAATCGTCAGACTAGTACGAGAAAAACAGCAATGCACTTAAATGTGTCCCATAGTGTTGTTTGGAATATTGTCCATGATAATTTATTATATCCTTTTCACCACCGGCCAGTTCAAGCTCTACTTGAACCAGACATGCATAAGCGAGTTGTTTTTTGCGAATCGTATCTTAATATTCTAAGAAATAATTTGAATTTTGCCTCAAAGATACTTTTCACAGATGAAGCAACTTTTCAAAGACATGGTTTAACCAATATGCACAATCTTCATTCCTGGGCTCATGAAAATCCTCACGAAGTATCTATGACAACATTTCAACATAATTTTAGTTTAAACATTTGGGCAGGAATTGTAGAAAATGTGCTTGTCGGCCCTTTTGTTTTACCTCATCGACTTGGTGCTGTTGAATATTTGCAGTTCTTAAATGAGCATCTACCACCACTTCTGGAGGAAGTACCATTAAATGTACGTCAGGCCATGTGGTACATGCATGACGGGGCTCCTGCTCACAGCACTGTAGTAGTTAGGCGGTGGCTTAATTTAAATTACCCGAATCGTTGGATAGGTCGCGGCAATGAGGCACCTATCTCTTGGCCTGCACGTTCTCCCGATCTAACGCCCATGGATTTTTTCTTTTGGGGACATATAAAAAGTATTGTTTATGCGACCCCAGTTGACAGTGTTGAAGAGCTACAGGAAAGAATATTCGCGGCGGCTGATGAGATTCGCAACAATCCCATAATTTTTGCTCGAGTCCGTAACAACTTTGATAAACGTGTTAGGTTGTGTTTAGAAAGAAATGGCAATTATTTTGAAAATGTCCTTTAACTAAGTTTTTTGTTTTTTCTCTTTTTGATAATAAATTATTTCTTAGTTTCGTTTTCATTGTACTTCTATTTAATAAAAGTTTCTGCGACATTCAAACAGTTATTTGTGCAACTACTGTAAAGAGTGTGTATTTGTTGTACGATGCATGAAGTTTGCAGCTCGAGACGAAGTTGAGAGCTGCAATCATGTTAAGTGCAACAAATATGCTTTTTGCACATGTTGCACGCAACATTTTTTCTACGATTGTTTTTATTTCAAATTTTATTTAACAGTATTTTACATAATATTAAAATTTTAACTGACAACTGGAAATTAATTGCGCAAATTGTCAATGTCAGACGTTAGGTACTTATGGATATGCTTAGATTAAACTTGTAATCAATATTTTTTTTGTACTACTGTAAAAAAAGTTAAACTTTTGGCACAGTAGGTAGTGCAATAAGTAGTAAATTTTGCACGATCGTAGAAAAAAACACTTGTAGCATGTCCACATATTCATCATTAGTAAAATTTGGCATAATTCTTGTTAATTTACACCCAAAAAGTATTTAGCTGATAACAGTGACAACTTACAGAAGAGTTAATTGTGACAACTGGCATGACAGCAGCACACTTAGTTTTTCTTTGATTGATTGCAATCATATACGGTGTGAGGTGAATGGTAATACATTTTATTTTTTTATTAATAAACGAAAAGTTTTAAAGGAAAATTGCTAGAGAGGTAAAAGTTTCTAAAAGAACCAGTTTATCTAATGCGTATTTTTGGATATCGAGTTTTTACGAAATATAAAAGTTATGGCAAAAAATGGCTTGAGGGGTGGTTATTTCAACCCCTTTCGAGGGGTTAAAATTTTCGAAAAATAGTTGAAAACTCGCATCTGTATTAGTAAACAACCTGTAAAAAATTTGTTATTTGTACCTCGTTCGGTTTTCAAATTACAGCCAATTTTCATAATT